ATTTCTGATTTTGTTGATTTGGGTCCTTTCTCTTTGCTTCTTGGTGAGCCTGGCTAGAGGTTTGTCAATCTTGTTTATCCTTTCAAAGAACCCGCTCTTTGTTTCATTGATTTTCTGTATTGTTTTTTTGGTCTCTATGTCATTTATTTCTGCTCTAATCTTTATTATCTCCTTCCTTCTGCTCACTCTGGGCTTTTCTTGTTGCTCTCTTTCTAATTCTTTGAGCTGTAGATTTAGATGATTTACTACCATTTTTTTCTTGTTTGTTGAGATAGGCCTGTAGAGCTATAAACTTCCCTCTCAGGACTGCTTTCATTGCGTCCCAAAGGTTTTGGGTTGTTGTGTTTTCATTGTCATTAGTTTCCAGGATGTTTTTAATTTCTTCTTTGATCTCATTGGTAACCCAATCAATATTTAATAACGTGCTATTCAGCTTCCAAGTGTTTGAGTATTTTGAGTTGTTTTTGTTGTAGTTTATTTCTAATATTATGGCCTTGTGGTCTGAGAAGATGCTTAGTATGATTTCAATCTTCTTGAATTTGGGGAGACTTTGTTTGTGACCCAATATGTGGTCTATTTTTGAAGATGTCCCATGAGCACTTCAGACAAACGTATATTTTGTGGCTTTGGGGTGAAGTGTTCTGAAGATGTCAATTAAGTCCATCTGATCTAGTGAGTCATTTAGGATTGCTGTATCTTTGCTGATTGTTTGTCTAGCGGATTTATCCAGTGATGTCAGTGGTGTATTAAAGTCCCCTACTATGATTGTATTGTTGTCGATCTCTCCCCTGATATCTTCCAGGAGTTTTCTTATGTATGTGGGTGCTCCTGCATTGGGTGCATATATGTTTATCAGGGTTATATCCTCTTGTTGTATTGATCCCTTTAGTATTATGAAGTGGCCTTTCTTATCTCTTATTATGGCCTTCACTTTGAGGTCTATTTTCTCTGATATAAGTATTGCTACCCCAGCTTTTTTTTCATTTCCATTTGCCTGAAAGATATTTTTCCATCCCTTCACTTTCAGTCTGTGTGAGTCCCTTCTAATGAGGTGGGTCTCTTGTAGACAGCAAATATATGGGTCATGTTTTTTTATCCATTCAGCCACTCGATGTCTTTTGATTGGACCATTTAGTCCATTTACGTTTAAAGTTATTATTGAAAGGTACTTGTTTGTAGCCATTTCTATTTTTTTTGTGTGTGTGGCTGTTTTCTTTCTGGGCTTTTTAGTTCTTCTTTTTACACCAGTCCCTTTAGCATTTCTTGCATGGCTGGCTTGTGCCGGGAGCCGGTCCATGCTTGCTGTTTCAAGGGACCTGGCATATATGGCATACTGTTCTTAATATGTTTGCTCACCTTCTTGGCACTATGTGTTTTAACCAAGGTCTCTGAGAAAGGTTGTTTCCCCAGGTAGGGATTTTCCCCTGAAGTTAGGGAGGGAATAAAACCTCTTAACTAAGTGCCAGGTGGGTAATTAATCACTTTAACTACGAACAATCATGCTTAAGCTACATAATCTTTACTCCCTGGAATGGAGATAAGAAACGCCCTAACCTTTGAAATAGAGATTGATAGGATTGGAATCAACTGGTATAAATACAGATGTAAGAAGACAGAACACACAAAACTAGAGACAGAAGAACTTCGCTGGAGAGAACATGGCAAAAGATCCTGGACTGAACCTGACTACAGAAATGGGCAAGAGAACCTGACTAGAACCTGGTGACTGAACCTGGCTGGAGAACCTGGACTGAACCTGGCTGGAGAACCTAGCAAGAGAACATGGACACAGAACCTGGCTGGAGATCTGAAGCAGAACCTCTCTGGAGATCCAGACCAGAACTTGGCTGGAGATCCTGGAGAACCTAGCAAGAGAACATGGACACAGAACCTGGCTGGAGATCCTAGCCAGAACTTCGCTGGAGATCCAGACCAGAACTTGGCTGGAGATCCTGGCTAGAGATCCTGGCTAGGCTGCTGATCAACTGAACGCTGTCTCCGCGTCATTCCTTCTTCGCCGACTCCGTCCACACCTTTGGGGACCCCTGGACCTGCTGGGGTTGGACCCCGGCAGGCTTGGTGGTGATAAACTCCCTTAGCCTTTTTTTGTCTGTGAAGCTTCTTATTTCCCCTTCAATTTTGAGTGATAGCCTTGCTGGATAGAGTATTCTTGGATTCAGTCCTTTGCTTTGCATCACTTTGTAAATTTCTGTCCATTCTTTTCTGGCCTGATGTGTTTCTGTTGAGAAATCATTTGATAATCTGATGGGGGATCCTTTGTAGGTAACTCTCTGTTTCTCTCTTGCAGCCTTTAAGATTCTGTCTTTGTCTTGTACATTTGCCATCGTTATTATGACATGTCTTGGTGTGGGTCTTTTGGGGTTCATCTTGCCTGGGACTCTCTGTACTTGTATAACTTTTTTCTTCCCCATATCTGGGAAGTTTTCTGACATTATTTCTTCAAATAGATTTTCTAATCCTTGCTGCTCTTCTTGTCCTTCTTGCAGCCCTATTATGCGTATGTTACTTCGTTTCATGTTGTTCCGAAGCTCCCTTAGGCTCTCCTCCTGCTTTTTAATTTTTTTCTCCAGTTGCTGTTCAGATTGAGCTTGTTTCTCTGCCTTATCTTCTAATTCACTAATTCGGTCCTCTGCTTCTTCTAGTCTGCTGTTGAAACTTTCCATGGTGTTTTTGATTGTAGCTATATCACTTTTCATTTCTTCCTGATTCTTGCATAGGTTGTTGATTTTCTCATCCATCCGGTGAATGAATTGTACAACCATTATTCTGAATTCTTTTTCTGTCATGTTGCATGCTTCAACTTCATTAATGTCCTTTCTTGGTGACTCCTCATTGTCTTTCCTCTGGGTGTTGTTTCGTCTCTTCATTCTGATTATCTCCCGATGGTTCAAACGTCGAGTTGCGTGGGCCTGGGTCGTGCACAGTGGGAACCTCCCACCACCCTAGTGTCACTGAAGAGCTCTGACACTAAGATGTGTGGTTGTTGTGGGTTGGTGGGAACCAGGCTCGCTCAGAGTCAGTGTTGTCAGCGCTCAATGTGGCCTCGTACGCGCCCTTAGAATCAGGGACCCTGCCTGCACCGTGCTGAAACAGAGACCCCCCTGAAGCGTGTTGAAAACCAGAGCCCCCTAGCGTGCGCCAGGAGTCAGAGTTCCCCAGAATCCAGTATCAGAGTCTCTGTTGCTTCGTGCGCGACCTTGCCCTGAGAATCAGGGTCCCTGTGTGCCCTTGCACCAGGAATTGGAGTCACTGGCTCTTAGTATGAATGCACAGGAAATCAGGATCTCAGGCGCAGGTGAAAAGAAACACAGTCAAGTCACTGGTGCTTGGTGCTGCCACCTGCCCAGAGAGTCGGGGTCCCTGGGCCTGTGATACGTGGGACAAATTCCCGGGGTTCGCGCGATTGCTCCCAGCCCAGGGCTCAGAAGCCGGCAGTGCGCCTAGGCTCAGTTCTTGGGGTTCCCGCTTGCTTCCAGCCCAGGGCTCAGAAGCTGGCAGTGCACGTAGGATCAGTTCCAAGGTGCTTGCGCACTTCCAGGCTAAAGTTCCTGGAGCGCTGAGGCCCCGGCAAAGGGTGGGTCTATCAGTTAGTTACTCTGGCGCTGCCCGCAAGCCTGCGGGAAGGGGGGATGGGCTCTGTTACTCATGGATCTGCCGTGGGGATTTCTGAACTTTTGGTGTCCGCAGGTCTGTAGCTGTGGTCACAGGTCTCTGTCCCCAGTGGCTGCAGGGTCCTGGTATGCGTCTGAGATCAGACTGGGTGGTGCTGAGGCCAGGATCCTAGTCTCAAGCCTCTTCCTATTTTTTAACCCAACTCTGTAATTTTAATCCATCCAGGAGAACTGACTCTGGGTTAGCTACTTCACCTCCAAGTCCCTTTTCTACTCTAGAAAATAAGACCACTGCCTATTTCTCAGGATTGAATGGGGATGAAGCACTTGTAAAGGTGGCTGACATTTCATGGGTACTCAGTAAACCCTTATTTCTTTTTTAATCTTCCTTTCTCATCCATACTCTTGTCAACACTTGTTTTCAGCACTTCTCAGTAAATTTGCTATAAGAGTCTTTTGCAACACCATGGGGAAACCTAGTGGAAGCCAATGAACTAGACAAACTAGGAACATTTGAAAACTTGATTTTTACTTTATTATTTTTGTTGTCAATATTGCAGATGTCCCCCATTTCTCCCTCTTCTTTCCCCCTCCACCCAATCCCTGCCACACCCCAGGCCTTCCCCACACTATTGCCTGTGTCCATGGGTTATGCATATATGGTCTTAGAAAACGTAACTTCTAAAAAAGAGACTTTATAAAGTGATTTTGAAAGGTTGAATTTGGTGCTCAGGGCTAAGGAGATAAAGCCAAGCCCCGTGCATTTTCCCCTTAGAGACATTTTTCATTGTATCGCATGTCGGCAACCCCGGTAAATGTCCAATTGCACATGTAATGATGTGCAGCATCTCCAGTTACAGTCCAACCAAGGCATGCAGGGGCCTATCATATTCATATGTAAATACATATATACTCCATATCCACTCTTATCCCTTGACCCAATGTAGACCTAATTTTGCAGTGTAAGTTGGTGAGTTTTCTGGAGTTCATTGGTCTGCCACTAAAAATGGATAAAATGTAAGGGTAAGGGTAAAACTGTAAGACTCATGTAGTTTGGGTTTGAATGAAGCTGAAATCTAAGTTTAGAAATAAAAGTAGACCCTAAAGTCACTCATATTCTTTAGTAAAATTTTGTGTTTTGTTTTGAGGGTCATGAGACCTCAGTGGTATTGATTTTGACGCTGACTCACAGTGGGGTCTCAATTGCTTTTCCCTGCTCAGTATCATGAGTGGTACCTCCAACATACTTCCTTGTGCAGCTGTTGAGATTTCATAGGGTCTGAGCAACATCGAAGTAAGACAAGCTCTGAAGGAAAACAAAGAACAGTTATTTAAAGTGTATGCTTTTGGTTTGTGGTCTGTCCCCAGGCCTACCATTGACCTTGCCCTGCTGGACATGCCCTTCCTTCAACTCGCTGGGGAGATGCCCTCTGACCTCCGAGAGCAGCTGGACCACACACTCTGAAGACACCAGTAGTCCTAGTTGCTGCCCCTCATACACAGACCTGCAGCTCATCAATGCGGAGGAGCAGATGAGTGGCAGGGCATCTAGGGCCGACTCTACAGGTAAGGTGGAGCACCAAGCCACAGGTCTTTGCAAATCACTATCAGTGACCTGTAGCCCCTCTTCAAATCTCTGTAGCCAGCTTTGTTTGCAGAATGAGGTCAGGCTTAACCATCCAGTCAAAAAGCTAGACTCCTGAGTGATTCAAAATTACATTAGAAGAAAAGAAAACATACACAGATTGGCTGATTGGTTAGAAGATGATAAATGTTGGGAAACCATTTGACAGTGTCTTCTTTGTTATTATTTATTGTTTGAAGTATTACGTATGTCTCCTTTTCCCCCCATGGACCTCTCCTGGGTTGCTCTCACTCTCCAGCACATGCCCTCACACTCCTACTGTCTCTGACCATTGGTTTTGCTTATATACATGCATACAAGTCCTTTGGTTGATCTCTTACCCCCACCCCCCAGCCTTCCCTCTGAGGTTTAATGGTCTGTTGGATGCTTCTCTGTCTCTGAATCTATTTTTGTTCATCAGTTTATGTTGTTCATTATATTCCACAAATGAGTGCGATCATGTGATATTTATCTTTCTCCGACTGGCTTATTTCGCTTAGCATAATGCTCTCCAGGTCCATCCATGCTGTTGTGAATGGTAAGAGTTCTTTCTCTTTTACAGCAGCATAGTATTCCATTGTGTAGATGTACCACAGTTTTTTTAATCCACTCATCTGCTGATGGGCACTTAGGCTGTTTCCAAATCTTAACTATGGTAAATTGTGCTGCTATGAATATAGGGACGCATATATCCTTTCTGATTTGTGTTTCTGATTTCTTGGTATATAGTCCTAGAAGCGGGATCACTGGGTCAAATGGGAGTTTCATTTTTAATTTTTTGAGGAAACTCCATACTGTCTTCCACAGTGGCTGTACATTCCCAGCAGCAGTGCATGAGGGTTCCTTTTTCTCCGCATCCTCGCCAGCCCTTGTTGTTTGTTGATTTGTTCATGATAGCCATCTTTTGAGACAGCATGAATGGACCTGGAGATTATCATGCCAAGTGAAATAAGCCAGTCAATTCAATGAGTTTGGCATTACTCTGGTACTAAAACCAAAGAAACAAGGTCCCGCTTCCTCTTAGCTCCAGCACCAGGGTGAGGCTTTGGGGGATACAAACACATACTAGCAGGAACTGGATTATCTGGTTTAGGGCAGGAACTCGGGGGTGGCTTTCTCCCAGATGGAGGTGCTTGCAGGGATCATAGTTTCTATGCTGGGACCTCCCCGGTCACAGTGCTGACTCAACAGTATGTCTTAATGTGTTATTTTCCTGATGGTTTGGTACAAGTACTGTTCTCTGTCAATTTTTCTTCTCCTGGGATAACAACTATTGGTAATATTCACAACATTGAATCTTGCATCCTACCACCCGCACATCTTCCCTCTTCAGCAAAAGGGAGGTAGATTTAAGCAGAGAAAAAGTAAATGTTATATGAAGTGGAATGAGAATCAGGACTCAGCCACTGTGTCTAGACTACAAATCATTTTGCAGTTATGTTTACTCTGTTGGGCCTGAGTTGAACTATGTACATCAGCATGCAGCATCCTGAGGTCTCATTGATTAAATTTCCAGTAGGTGTAGGATGGAATGCTGGCTGGCTCCGTGGGTGGAATTTGGCCTGTCAGCAAGTGCCATACTACATGTTAGGGTTAGGATGGCATTGGAAACATGTGGTGTGTTCTTGGTGTTTTGGCTGTTGGGCCCAAGAGATTGTTTTCCTTTGAAAGGGGTAAGTTACTGATAGTTTCTCTGTGGATGAAATTACCCAGTATGTCCAATAATGTTTTTCTTTCTCAAATGTTTAGGAATTTGTCTCTGAATCATTTTTCAAACTTGGGTGACATTTGCCCTCATGCTGTGTACTATTGGGGGTTCTACAAAGAGAAAGGGTTCAAACATGCCCAGCTGGCATGGCTCAGTGGTTGAGCATTGACCTTTGAACCAGGAGATTACGATTCGATTCCCAATGAGGGCACATGCTAGGGTTGTGGGCTTGATCCCCAGTGTGGAGTGTGCAGGAGGCAGCTGATCAATGATTTTCTCTCATTAATGTTTCTATCTCTCTATTTCTTCCTTGCTCAAATCAATCAATAACTATATCTATATCTATATCTATATATATATATACACACACACACTAGAGGCCCGATGCACGAAGATTCGTGCAAGAATGGGCCTTCCTTCCCCTGGCTGCCAGCACCGCCTTCACTCTGGCTGGAGCCACCTTTCCACCTTCCCATGCTGCCCAGAGGCCTGGAGCGGCTGGGGCAGTGTGGAATGCCTGCGTCGTCATCATAGTGATGATGCAAGCGTCCCGTTCCACTCCCAGCCACTCAGCACCTGTGTATGCAAATTAACCTGCCACCTTTGTTGGGTTAATTTGCATACTCACTCCTGATTCGCTGCTGGGCATTGCAAAGGTATGGTCAATTTGCAACTTTCTCTTTTATTAGTGTAGATATCCTATAATGGCTGTAATATGCAAATTGACTGTCACACCCTCACAAGATGGCTGCCTATGACCAGGCCAGCAGGGGGGTTAGTGAATTTAGTTTGGTATTTGATAATATTGCAAAGAATTCTAGTTTAACACACACTGTCTCTCTTTTCATAAGCTACAGTTCTTTCTAGCATTTTGTTTTCACAGACACTCCCTCAGTTCTGCTTGATCCCCATGGTTGATGATCAGGTCAGTGGCTGATGATCCGATCAGTGGCTGAAATATGCCCCATGTCCCCATCTCCCCCATGGGGAGCATTTCCTGGTGGCAGGGCACTGTCAGGAGCTGAGGCTGTGCTTCTCCTCCTCGCTTCTCCGTGCTCCCGACCTCCTTGCCAAGCCTTCCCGCAGAGGACGCAGATGATGTATTGGTTCAGGGTACACAGACTCTGGAGTGATCCGCAAGGAGCAGTTTCTTCCCTTGCCTGCCCCAGGGATCTCATTAGGTGAGAGAGGTGGAAAACGGGCTCCTCACTGCAGGAAAAGTCAGCATGTTTCTATTCAGGCTCTTTTTTCAGTGGCCTCTCTACTTGGGTGAAAATTGCTTTAATACCTGAGGTTCCAGTGATGAAATCAGAGCCCTAGCTTGAACTGGACATTATTACTCTGTCTCCCAAGCTTTAATGGTCTCCAGTTATTTTTAGTATCTTTTCTAACAGTGTTACAATGGGCACTGAGAAAGCCTCCACCCTGTTGTTTCAGTCAGGGTCCTGGCAGGAAGCAGATGGAGTCCGTGGAGGGGTTTATCTGAAAAGAGTGTAATGAGAGGACTGCTTACAGAGGCAGCAAGAGTTAGAATCATGGAAGAGGGGCTGCCCCACAGGGTCCAGAAACCCAAACACACATCGACTAGCAAAGTTGACTTGGATATTCAGGCTGTTGCTAAAGTGTTGGGAAACCAGAAAAAAATATTTTGACAAACTTCCCTGGATTTACAAAGCCAGCCTTACTTTGTCTCAGGCTCTGTTATACCTCTGGCTATAGAAGGGACAGAGCCACTACCAGGGACTAGGCGAGGTGGGGAGAGTGGGAGATAAATACCCAGATTTGTGCTGGTGCTTCCCATCAGCAGATCCAGCTGGAAGCCAAAGGGCCAGGAGACCTGGTGAGGCAGCCCACAGAGATCAGCCACCAGGCCAAAGAGCAGGTGACGACAAGTTTCAGTGGGTTTGGGGTCATGGGTGGTGGCGAGCAAATAGAGAATCGGCAACACTTCTCTAATCCAACAGGAACTAAATGGCCCATAGGCTGGGGTCGCTCCATAGCCACAGATGCAAAACCAGGACTAAAGAGTGATGAGTGATGCTCTCAGTTCTCTCCCGTGGCTACAGGGAAGCTGGAGGTATGGTCTTGGGGCAACCACCCTCTCCTCAATAGAATAGTCACAGCCAGGACTCACTGTGTACTTTGTGCCAGGTGTGTGCTATCTCTGGCCTTTACAACAATCCTGCAAGGCAGGTGTCATCCTCCCCATTTCCTAGTTGATGCTGAGTCTTTGGAAGGTTAAGAAACTGGTCTAATAGAATGTGACTAAGAAACGGACAACCCTGGCTTTCAATCCAAGTTCCAAAGCCTTTTCCAGTGGTTCCCAAATCTGATGGTGCCCCCAGAATTATCATGGTTATCAGTTTGCTGTGTTACCTTTCAGACCTTCTTTAGAGATAGGTTTTATAGAGGATATGTGTGTGTGTGTGTGTGTGTATATGTATATATATATATATATATATATATATATATATATATATATATATAGTTGTTGTTGCCTTAGGGTTATTTTTAACCTAAGTAGGATCAAAAGGATTTTAAATACTGGCATATGAGTAGCAGGAAAGCTTAAAGAATAAACTAATGTTTCCTTATCAGATATGAGTGTTTGCAGATAACTGCTGTGTGCCCACAGTACTGTGTTATGTGAACAAGTTTCTAGGCACTGCATTGTGGAAAGAAATACCCAATTCTTTAGTAAGGCAAGGGTCCAGGTGGACCCAGGTGCTAGGGAGCGCCCCATCTGTTTATGATGGAACATCATTCTTTGTATCTCACCTCCACCTGTTCCTCCAGGCCCAGAGGTGGCCAGCGGTGTCTCCAGGGCCCTGGGAAAGGGAGAGGCCCTGAGGTGGGTGACCGGGAGAGCCCTCCCCCAGGCAGAGTGGACAGTCTGGATGCAGCCGCAGCTGTGGGAACTCCATGTGGCTCTTCCTGAACACGCTGACCTGTGTGACCAGGGTTGAGCCCTGGCTTTGAAAAGCCTTTAACCCATCCTGGATACCAGGATAGAAGGCGGGTAAGGACAAACAAGGTTTAGGAGAATGACCATGTGCTTCAAAACCTCTGGCATTTATTCACCTGCCCAGCGGTGGGGAATTTATAAATGCTGTCAGTTGAGCTCTTGAGAGCTTCAGAGAAATCCGGCACCAGGTCTGTGGCAGTGGCTCTGGGAGAGCTGTCCTTCGAGGCTGGACGGCTCCGTCAGGGTAAGCTGCACCCCCCTGAGGCTAT